TTCTCGTCGATCGAAAGGAACACAAGATTTTCCGAATACGATCTCGCGACGTGTCACTGCGTGAGGAGAAACGTAGAGAAGAGAGCACACAGCAACCTACTGGTTACGTTATATTCGGCAGCTCGAGATGCTGCGCTGGCGGCCGCCACTCGCCGCACGATCCTTCGACCTCGAACACCACGAACTCTCGCGTGGCCTCCTCCTATCGCGGTACCGAGGAGACCGGAGTACTCGAAGCGGTTTCTTGACCTTCGAAATAATCCGTGCCACTTCCGTGCACCGTGGTTCGTCTTCAAGGATCTTTCATAGCGATCGTCAACCTCTAGTCTCAACTACTCCTTTCCTTGACGTCTGACACTCGACCGCGTCATCGTCACTTTCACGCTTTCTTCGATACTTCGAACTAATCCTCCATCACTCGAATAAGCCTCTACTTCGTTCCTCCAGATGTTTTGTTCCTTTAGTTGCATCAGCGTGTTCACGGTTTTCTTTCGGGTCAACGTTCGGTCACCCCTCGATTCACGATCATTGGAGGGTTCTCGTCACCGACGAACGACACGCTGGAACTTTGCTCCCAGCATTGTTGTCTTCATCCTCGTCGTCCTCTTCTGCTCCTTCTCCTTCTTCTTCTTCTTCTTCGTCTTCTTCTGGTTAGCCAAGGTTTCGTTTACCATGCCGACGCCGGCGGATCCGGGCACGATCGTGCCACCGCCTCGTTGATCGCCTCGGTCGCGGTAACGGGTGCGGAGGTGCGTCGGATCTCGATCGGTTTCGAGCCGGAAATTGGTGGCCGGCCCAAAACCCCATGACTGTTTCACGACAAGTTCCGCTGGTCCTCCCCGCACTCCTCAGCCTTCCTCAACGACCTCTTCAGCTTGTCCACCAGCCGATTGTGGAACTTGTTGAGAGAGTTCGAGCTGCCGGTCTTCGGCGGCGACGAGCCGGTGCTTTTGCTCGGGCTCTGCAGCGAGGACTGCGAGGCCCTCGAGGACGTCCTCGAGAAGTGGCGGGAGGTGAGCGGCACCGAACGGTGGGCCGGGGACGTCAGGAAATCCGAGCCAGGGGACGTCGACAGCGACGGACCCTCCGATTTTGAGCACTCTGACACCTGCAAACAGAAAATCGTAATCCATCCTTCAGAATCTTCCGTCGAACTCGAAGTCTGTAGTATAAATATCGAATGATATAACCTTCTTTATATTAACCCCTTTGAGGACAAGTGTTGTACTATTGGCCATATAAGGTTTGGATACCTAAAATCGAAAGTTGCAATCGAAGAATTGAATTCTGTAAACATTCAAAGTTCATGGTTTCCTTACTTTCTAACGTTCGAGGGTTTGAAAGCTCATTTAGTCTCTTGTGCAGAAGGTTACTAGTGCTCTTGTAAATCCCCGTCCACAAAGAGGGTTAATATGAATGCTAAATGGTGTAAACTAGCTGTACGATCGTGACTATGAACCCAATTATTCTTACTACGATTCTGAAAATTGTGTATCACATACATATAGGACAACGATACGAATGATAATGGAATGCAAACGAATACGTATTGGATGTATGCATATGGATATTGTTACAGGTTGTTAAAAGCCCAGGAAACTTTCACGATATCCGATGAACATGTTAAGGTACGATGGAAATGCTTATTAAACTCCGTTTCCCGGTACAATGTTCGTCGACAGGAAACCTTCACTTCTGCGGAGAAGTATGAAGTCCCGACCACTTTCACTTTGATTGTAAGATTCATGCTCGGGACAGGTTCCCGAAGATTCAACGAAGACTCCGTAACTCGGCTGCCTCTCCAATTCTATTCGAAGATGAGCCGAGCGCTGGACGATCCGACGCCGCTGTAATGGAGTCTCGCGACGCTCCTCGACGCGGACGCCGGGGAATCGAACAGCGAACGAGTGCATCGCATCGAATAATCAAAGCCGCACGTGTGCACGTGCGCCATGACCGCGGACACGGTGAATTTCTCGCCGCAGTGTCTCATCCCCTGGTTACGCACGATTGCATAACGCCGCCAGCGCAAAACAAACAAAGCCGGATCACGGCACGTGGGCTTGCATCGGATGAAAATAATATTCTCATTGAAAATAATAGCTGTATTCTCACATTCCGCATTCCTTTGGGATATTTTCGGATAACGACTCTGCGCGACGCCATTTCGCACGGCGATACTTGGGAAACTTTCTTTTTTGCTCCTTAGTTGAATTGAGCAATATTGTAATTAGTAAATCCGCGTGCAAATTTCTATTTTTGCGAATGAAAAAGAAGCTGAGTAGTTACTATTTTGTAATGGTAACTATAATTTTATAATAGTGATTCCGGTAATTGGAAACTAATATCAAAATGTACGATGAATTAAATAGTCGGAATTGCATGTAGTCAATTAATAGGGTCATGATTTCTACTAGAAACGACGGCAAGGATTCTTCGTTTATTTTTACTTTTCTCGTGCGCTGAATATACGGATTTGCGTGAAATCGACACTTTTAAGACACGTTGTAAGTAATTTCTAATCTACTGAACACACTGCTGCACGATAGATCGAACGTCTGTGCTCGTAATTGAAAGTGTAACACCAGAACACAGCCAGACCGGCAATTTTCGCGGCGAGCAGTGCACAGACCGATAACTATCTCACTCGAGCCGGTAGTTATCGATTAACACGATTTGCAGTTCCACGTAAGTAATTTGCAGCGTCTCGCACTATCTCGTTCTTTCACACATCGATGGTACGGAACTGAATGCGATACCTTCGGGAATTACGAATCTCTCTCGTACTTTCGAGCCGAACGACGTCGAGCCGGAAGAGTGTCAATTGATTAAATGACGAAAAAGTCGGCGCTCGTCGAACGTAGAAGTATCGTGAAAAACGAACATTACACGTGAAATACGAATCCCTCCGGAATTTATCATTTTAACCGTGTATTTTACTACGAGAATTCAATTTTTTTAATACTATTCTCCTACCAATCTTATCGATGATCATTAACTCTTGAAAAATTACTTCAATATCGGATATGGAGATCAATATAGATGCAATTATTATAATAATGACAATTGTCAACGATACTTAGCACTTAAAGCCTTGAACAAAGATAACAAAGCAAAGATAAACACAGCATTGCACGCGATCCTTTTGATTTGCGTATCGCGAGAGCACTTTGCGTTCGTTTCAATGATTCCATCAACGATTCGGTAAATGCTACGTTTATCATCTGTGACTGTTAATTATCAATGACATCTCCTGGACCGATCACTGGCGATAATTCATTAACTGAATTAAAATGAAAGTGAATTAGCGAAGTTCTTAATTCACACTGCGCAAGCTGTTATCAGAACAGTTTGTGAATATTTTGTTAAGATTTCTAATGTATTTGTTTAGTTATTCCTCTTCGCGAATGAAACCAAGGAAAACGAGTACACTTTCAATCGGCGATGAAGAAAGGAAGAAGGAAAGCGACGGACGATTCTGGATACATTTAAACATTGAAAACTCCGAGCATCGTTATCGATGACATATCGGATTATTGTATGAATAAGGCATCAGATAAGGGAGCCCCGGAGCGGGAAATCATGCGGAGCATTACGAAATTGTGAATCGAAGTTGCGCAATCGTACGTCACACGAACGAAGAGGTGTTCGTCCAACGTATCGTTTAGCCAGGTGAAAGAAAGATCTCTCCATTCATCGGAGTACGTCTAATGACTACGTTCAATGATTCCGCTGGTTTCTCTAATTTCTAGTCACTGAATATTTAGATATTAATCAGTTGCCGCGGTTTTACGTTCGAGAATCTACAGTTAAGATGTTAAACATCGTCGTCAACGTTATCGTTATTATTGTTGTTAGGACGTTACGTAAATTCTGTCAACTCTCAAGACTCTGCGATTAGTCATGCTATTAGCGTAAGGACTAGCTGTCAAGTACATAGCGTAATTACGAACGGAAACTCGTTTTTTACTCTCGCGAACTGTTCAGGTAACTGCTACGTCATTGCTCTACGAATTGAATTCGATTGCAGTTGATATTGAATTTAAGGAGGAAATTTATTTATGCGTAGGCTATGCTTATTTAATTCTGTTATCGATAGTTGCATTTATAAATGTCCTTAACAAAGAAGAAACTAAAGTTTACTTCGCCATTTCTAACAATTGCGCGGCTAAGCTTATGCAATAACGTGACTTTAATAATACTGATAATAAAAGTACCGATAACGGAGTTATCCGCGAGTTTCCATAGCCTTGGGTTTAAAACATTTTCAATTAAAATTATGAATATTCCGCAGTCGTGGTGGGTTCTCCATTCGAATTGAACTTCCAAGGGTAGCGTATTTAAAGGCATATGATAATCTTTATTGTTCCGATTATAAAAGTAGTGATAACAATGTTAATCACGAATTTATGTAACTCAAGTTTACAATATTGTTAAGAGCGATATTGTTAATCAACGTGTTATCGTGGTATTTAAAAATTATATATACGACCACTGATAGCCAACTATCAATGCTGACTATATACATCGCTTAAATTCACCGACATTTTTCATCCGAATATCTAAGTTGTCGATTCCCAGAAAACAATGAAAATCTTCATTCGCATTCCCCTCACGATTAGACTGCAGAGTCGTATGCGTTCATGGAAAACTTTGGAATGCAAAGTTCCACAGAACGCGAGGGACACGACGAAACAGACAAAATATCCAAAGTACTGTGCTTTTTACAATATTTATTAAGAAAAACCATTTCGTATAGCTCCATTTTCTCAAATACGTTGTCAAACACTCGAAGATTTGCGAATTTGATAAAAGTTCGTACAAAAGATATATTAAACATCCAAAGTATAGTATTTTTTACGCAATTTATTTAAAAGAGAAGAACGTTTTCCCAAATATGTTCTCAAACACTTGAAGATTTGCGAATTTAATAAAAGTTCGTATAAAAATTATATTAAATATCCAAAGTGTAGTATTTTCTACGCAATTTATTTCAAAAAAAGAAAGAACGTTCTCCATCGCAATTCCGTTTTCCCGAATACGTTCCGACAAACTTGAATCTGCACAAGATTTGCGAATCTGATAAAAGTTCGTACAAAAATTATATTAAATATCCAAAATGTAGTATTTTCTACGCAATTTATTTCAAAAAAAGAAAGAACGTTCTCCATCGCAATTCCGTTTTCCCGAATACGTTCCGACGAACTTCAATCTGCACAAGATTTACGAATCTGATAAAAGTTCGTACAAAAATTATATTAAATATCCAGAGTGTAGTATTTTCTACGCAATTTATTTCAAAGAAAGAACGTTCTCGACAAACTTCGACGGCGAAATCCGTCGTCGACTTGCGGCCGTGCGAAAATTTGCGGTTAAATTCCAGATAACCGGCTGCGACCCGTTGGACACATCCGCGAGGTTCGCCTTGCGTTCCCGGTGTTGTCTTCGTCGGCGATGTTAGACTGTCAACAAGGATTACCTCACCGAAGACGCCGGGGCGGTACGAACTCGCGGCTCAATTGTCGTCCGTCGCCGAGGGCAGCTTTCGTCGCGCGTAATTAACCGTCTGACTAAGCGCGAAATTATTTGTAATCGACGTTCCCGATCCTATATGGCCCGGCCGAGATACATTCGCGGTTCAAATACGTTGGACGCGTTCGCGCGCGTGCCTGAATGCCAAACGGAACCCGCGGGCCCCCGTTGACGACACGTCGATGTTTCGGCAAACCGGGAACCGGTTCCGTTCGCTGCTCCTCTATGATTTCACGAATTAGCCGTTCCTGAAAATTAAGAACCAGACGATCGTTCTCGTACTATTCGATCTCCACTTCCATCTCGGAAGCTCCGACAACATACCGAATTCCTCGGTAGATCCGCAACTGCTTCGAGAATCCTCTCACGTCGGACTCTCGAAGATGGCGGATCTATCATATGATTGGATATGCTGTTTATCGTTCAGTAATCTTCATTCCGTTTCCCCTTTTTACCTTCTAATATTTTTAATAGTGAGATTAATAGAATTAGCAGATTTTAGAGGAGTGAGGCGTTACTTTTTGAAAATGGAGAATATGAATTCGGAAAAATTGAAGTTTTTGTGTCTCATTGTTATAGTAATGATTTGAATGTTGATGAAATTGTTAATTTTATATATATATATATGAATGACATGAATGCCTGGAATATGCGTTAAAATAAGTGTCACAGGGATTGTTAAAGATACATTCGTATATTTCTTATGCCAGTTTAACGGTTCGATGGTTCGCGGTTTGAATGCCTCGCCACTTGTTATTCTGTTTCCCCGTATTGCTGGAGTCCTACGTCTCGAGGAACGTATAACGATTAACATTCAATTGAAATTGGCACTTCTCGGTGAGTGACAGTGCTCGTGGCATGCTTTCCTCTCCGCGTCGCGTGCGAAAGTATACAAACACTGCGCTCATCGTTTCCTATCTATAGAAAATGCGAGATCCGATTCGAGATTGGGCAAAGGCACCGATAAATAGAGGAGAATCTTCGATTCGCAGTTTCCTTAAAATTCATTCCCGAAAGTGACATTATTCTGGTTCCTAGAATAGAAAGATTTAGTGCCTCCTGCGCAATACGATGAACGAGCGTATAATATCGATACGATCTCCTGTGATTTCATCAATATTATCAATAGACAACGAATTTTTACGCAACTTCGAGCGCCTACACCGAAGAACCACAAAAATAGATCGTTATTGTTCATGGTAATAAATTCGGCGGATCAAAAATAGCAGCCGAGATACGATCCTATATTCGTTCGCAGATCTTTAAGCTGCGAATGTCCAAAAGCCCGGTCTAATTACGAATTTCCATTTTATTGCGCAAGAGACCCGTGATCTAAATTTTAAACGAGAGCCGAACTACGCGGAGCTACGGGCTAGAGTGTGAACCCTTTAAGCAACCGCCAATCATGGACCACCAAGACACCCTCTCAAACGATCTAGATGGTTCAATGATGACTCCGAACTACAAATTTCGAAGCAGCGTAATCGGTTACTCCGAAACGCAAGTGTGACTCAAGCAACACGTTAAATGCCAAATTGGAACTGACAGAAGCGTCTCAAAATTGAAGCCGTCACTTGCTTAGTCCTTCCCACCCGAGAGGTGACTTTCAGTCGTCATTTCGGTACAGTAAGATTGTAAATACAAATATTTAATATCAACCTCTGTATGCATCATTATATGAAATATTGAACTTGAATTCATAAATTGACGCGTGAAGTATCATTACGCTTAAGAAAACATAGTCTGTATCATTAGGAAACGTTAAATACTTCTGAAACTTTCGAGTGCAAAGGGTTAATTCTACATCCCATGAATCCGAGTAAACTCCAGTTCCAACAAATCACAATGAAAATGAATTTCCGCGTTCGCCGATGAAGTTGTCACCCAAAGTTCGACCAACTCGTCGGTCAACGTGTTACGTTAGATAACCGAGGTTCTACCGTATTCGAGGCCCAAATGAAACGGAACGCGCTACGACGGATCGGATCGAGCAGCGGACATTCTTTTCGGGGTATCTTTTGGCACTCACCTTTCTGCTGCGGCATGCCTGGGGATTCGAGCACTCCGAGGACCGTCGGTTGCGGTTAGTCTTGTAAATGTCCCACTCGTTTTTCACCACGGGCATCATAAACGCCATCTCGATCAGCCGGCACTCGTCAGCGCGCACTCTATACCTCTTCGTCCCTCTCGCAGGCCCGTTCCCTTTCTCACGATGCGCGCCTCTAGCCGCCGTCTTTCTCCCTCCGTTTCTCTGGAAAGTTCAAACCCAGTCGGAGCACCGGTGGTTTTCTCCCCCTGGCAGCCGGGTCCTCGCTGGTTCCTTTTCCTCACCGGAAGAGAACTTTTCTGCTGGCGGATTCAACGAACGGAAACGCGCGCGTAATTCTCTGTTTTTCTCTGCTCGGATCTGTTTCACCCTCTTTTGGTTCCCTCCGTCTTCCCGGCAAAGGATTACCGCGTTGCCTGAACGGGATAACAGTCGACGATCGTTCTCCAATCGGAAACGACGATTCGGTGTCCGAAAGAGATGTTCGTGCGGTTGGTCTCTAATGTCGACTGGAAAACTGCATACACGTCCGTGTCGGTTTTTCACGGGTAGCCTCGGCGTGCTGCCTTTTCAACGACGACGTTCGAATACACGCGCGTCCGGTCTGGGCAGCTGTCTGCTACGGAATGAGCACGCCGGCGGCCGTGTGGTTAGGTGTAAAAGCTCGCCCCGGTGGGGACCAGACCGGCAGCCGATTGGCCCGTCCTGAGGCGGGACTCCTACGTCACGGGTTACCATTGATTTTCCAATGTTGATACACACGACGGCATGACGTTCCGGATTGATTTTCTGGCCGCGGTTCCTGCTGGATCGCACGTACGTAACCGCCCGATGACAGACGTCAGCGTTTAACGGCCGACCCGCGGTCGACAAACGATCCCGCGGACCTCCTCGCCATCTTCCTGATGTCGCGCGACCCGGCCTCGACCCTTTGACACACACCGTGTCGCGAATATCGCGCCTGGACCCGCTCAAGGTCGACCGGTAAATTGCGCAGGCCGAGCGACCGGAAAGCCGCACGTGCGTTCCACGTTGACTCCGTGCGCTTGTCCATCATCCGGAGCATCGATTAGATTCGGAGTCGGTATTCTTTTGACGGGGTGCTGGCCTTCGAGAGGATTCCGAGCGCAAAGGGAAAAGGGATCGAGGAAGTTGAGGGTTGATCGGGATTTGGAACGGTTTGCGATAAGGTGGATGAATGATCGATCGGTTGATGGAATGTAAGTCGAATGGGAATGTGATAATTTGCTGGCTTCAAAGGATTGAGTTAATGGAATGTTTCGTATTGTTGTGAAATTTAAATTGAAAATATGTCGGTATCGGGGATGTTAATGTTAGGAAATGTAACGCAGCGCTGCGATTTATCGACTGATGGTACATTGTTGATGGAAGGTATCGTCATCGACGAACGATAGGGTAGGCTGGCGGGGTCTGAATTACCGATTGTGCAGAAAGTGGACGTTTCGTTACGCCCTCTGTAAATAGGGTGTGGAGTTTGAGGAATATATTCAACCCCAAATTTGTAATTTTATACCGTGTAAAATATAACATTGTTTCAAATTATTTGATCTTGTAGTTTATGATGCAATGGATGCAACATATTATAAATTCGCAGACATTACCTCGGTATTACTTTTAATTTATATTACATACTATATTTAATATTTTCAGAAGGCCAGTAAGGGATCCATTTTATAACATGTATTTATATTACGTATGCGCAATAATATACTATCTTTATTTTGTTTCTCTTTCGTTCGTGTTTTTATTTAATTTACATTAACGGGCAGTTTGAACATGTACGCAGGACAATGTAATTAGCATTTAAGTATGGGTGGCTTAAAAGCTTTTAATATGCATATATACATCTCATTAAGTTTAATACATTAATTATATGGCTAGAAAGAATTTTCTACGGAAGAATGTAGTAATTAGATTAAAGGAATCAAGGAAACGAAGATTGCTTCATACTTACCGATTCTTATTTTTTCATTGAATATTTAAAATGTTAATGTAAAATCAAGTAATGTTTATTTATAAATGAGTGAACAAGTACATGTATAATGTACTTGGTTAATAAACTTTTGTTATTGACTTTGAGTGTTTTGAACATTACCGACCTCCAACAACGTGAAATTTCCCATAGCATGGAGTATGTACTTTAAAAATGGCTGTATACAATATACTTCACGTATGGTCTGTGTCAATTAAGCATTTTGAATTTAATTTGAATTTGATTAAGTCTGAATTGAATCAGACGAATAGTCATGTCGTTTAATCGAAGAAGTTAATTGAGAGCAATTTGGGGAAAAAATATTCAACAGATACAATTAATATCTCCATGTATTTTGTTATATATTTACAATTTTATAACAGAAACGTTAAACGTAACAGGCAGTCTCGCACTCGGCTGAAAGATGGGCGTAAGTTGTCTTTCTAGTGGAGCGCGAGGCCAGCGAAAAGTCACATAAATATAATAATATTCGTCATAATAAATTCAATACAATCCATAATATGTATATGTAATATACGTTATTTAAATTTTTCTTAAACATTCGCTCAACCGGTTCAGTTGTTCCTTCTATCTGCTCCGTTCTGTTCCACCGACTGTCCATTCGCCTTAATTACGTCTATTATTACTCGCATTTCTCATTTTTAGTCTTTAATTGTATTCGGATTGTCCGTACTTGATGATATTTATGTATGTAACTCTCTTTTTCTCCGTTTCTCGCGCGAGTGCCGTTTAAAAAAAAAATGCAGACTTCGTTCTTTGCTCTTGATCTATTCGTGTCAATGCAGGAAACGGTCGACCGGTTCCTCGATC